CATGCAAACTCCACGAAGAAAGACCCCAGGTCGGGAATCAACACCATAACCTTCTTGTTAAGGAGCAATTCCTTTAATTTATCTTCACTATTTTATTTCATTAATGATTTAAAAATGACATTGCTCCATTTTTAGCTTCATGCATTTTGGAATATGATCCTAGATTTCAGCTGCTAGATCAGAGGTTTTCAGAGCTCAAAGTGGGCCTTTGGTTCACTTAATATATCAAAACAACAAACATTTGCCCTGTTTTTTGTTTTATTCTTTTATTTAGTTCCCCCATAATAAAAAAAATGCCCCCACACTTGGTCTGAATCTGATTTAGAAGCGCCACAGAATGACATATATAAGAGGTGAATCTGGCTCTTGTAGAGTTTTAGGACCTGCAGAGACCAAATTTCCGCTTGGAACAGTTTAAACTCAGTTTGGCTGATGTTTAGATGAACATTCGGGTTTTTGCTATAAGCACATCTCATTCTGATGGTGATTATGAGTTTTCTAAGAGAACTACTTTTTTCCAACAAATGGACATGTCTTCAGCTGTAAGAGGATCTCTGTCTGGTTTTGTTCTCAGGTGACTCTTTAACGGCTGTTTTACTGATATCCTCACAGCTCTTCTCCTTCTATGTAAACAAGATCTAAGCTCATATAACGGAGTCTATTCAGTTAAACTTTGTTTGCTGATAACAACAGCTAATTAAAAAAAGCTGCAAGACCTGAAAACGGTTAGAGGAGTCAGATTTGGTGGATTTTATCACTGAAGGTTTATCTCTTTTCCAGCCGTTGCTCAATGAGGCCGACAGTTTGTGGTTAGAGAGATGTAAATTACCTCAGTCTGCAGCTGGTTTAGAGGTTTTTGCGAAACGACTAATTGGATGATTGGATCCAGGAAAACAGTCTCCATCATCTGCTGACTGTTCAAACTTTAGACGTAAATCAAGCTGCTGGTTCCACAGCGTCTCAGCAGGAGCGCCACACGCAGCCCGTTTCTGGCGTGGGAGGAAACTCACCCGGCAGCGTGTGGATGAAGGCGGTCACCTCCTCCACGCTCCACTGGGACGGGGCGGGGCGGAACGTGGTGGTGGGCGTCGACGCCGAGACGGCGGGGGCAGACGCCCTCCTCGCTCTCCGGGCTGCTCGCCTCTCCATCCTGGCTACCATGGCGACAGCAGGATCCTCCTCCCCTCCATCATCATCGTCTTCCTCCGCCTCCCCAAAGACATGTGGAGACTCCTGCGTGTCTGTGTCTTCCTCCTCATCCTTCTGCTCCACCACTGCCGCAGTCGCTGGCTTCTCTTTCCCGTCCTTCTCGCGCCGCCCGGCGCTCCAAAGGTCCCGAGGCTGCAGAAGGTCGAGGATAGGTGAGAGACGGACGAGTTCATTCAATATTTAACTTCAAATTGGTTTCATTTTCTAAAAAACTGTCATTTGAATCCTTCTAAACCATGAAACATTTTCAGACTAAACAGTGAATTGATCCAAAGTTACTCTGGAGAATGAAAGAATAATAAATAACAATATAAACAACAAAAAAACGTGAAAAATGTTAAAATTAAAACAAACATAAAACTAAAACAACTTTAAAAAAAGCTATATAACAAAGATGTTCAAATATTAATAAATAAGAATGTAATATTTCAAATAAAACAAATAATTTTATATTATTTATATTGTATTTCAACAGAAAGATATATTTTTGATAATAAAAGTTATTTAAAGTTCTATACTTTTACAAAATAAGCAGTTACAACAATTAAAGTTTTTTTACATCCATTTTTTATCATGTTTTCTGGCATGTATGTTTTATATATTTTTTAAAATTGAAAAAATATTAAAAATGTTAATTATTCACCTAGTTATAATAACTACCCTTTAAGTCACAGCATAAATCATTTTTATCCTTCCAATATAAATAAATTCTTCAATGTTTGTTTTTAATAATCAGAGACAGAAAAACAGTCAAATCCAAAATATTTTGATTACAAAATCTAAAATATGCATGAAACTCTCTTTCGTATTTTAGTAAAATAAAATGCCATGCCATACTTTATTTATAAAGCACTTTAAAAAAGCTGCAATTGCAACAAAGTGCAGCAAAGAGCTGCCAAGTATATAATAATTTATAAATGTACCTTTGTCCATGGCATATTGCATATTAAATGAGTAGCTGAAAGTTAACTGTTATAAAGGGAATTTATTTTTTTTAAGTATCTGAAATGTCAATAATTATCTAAAGGTAGAGGAACATGCCATTACAAACTACACCACCAGAGGGAGCAAACTTCCCACCTTTCCTTTTTCTACTTGGGAAGTAGATCTCAAAGAGATCAATGCATTTGAATCATTAAATGGTTACAACTTTTTCTCCTAAAGTAAAAAAAAAAAACATATAAGTGTAAAATCTAATTGTTAAAAATAGCTAAAACTGTAAGTAATGTCACAGCCTGAAGGATTACAACAGAACCACAGGAGCCAAACAATTAATTCATATCCCAATCCCCAATCCCTGTTTTGCCACTGAATGTTGTTATGCATGCAGATCATACTTTTGTGTATTTAATCAAGTAGATTGACATGTTCCAGGTTTTAATGTGTACTTGATTGGTACAGTGTTGTTATCTGTTAGGTATAGAGATGGCTGTTCCTACCAAGCGCAGCAGCAGTGGTTTCCCAGGTACCGACTCCGCCCGGTTCAGAGTGGGACGGGGCCTCTCGGATCGGCTGCCTGCACTCAGGGCCCTCAGGCGCTTTGTCAGCCGGACGTTGAACCTGAGAAAGAAACCCAGAGGTGTTAACACAGGATAGGTCGAGACCTTGTTGTTCTGCTGCTCTGATTCAGACTGAGATCTACATAGACACCTGTTCTTCTCTGCATGGTCACCACATAACCACATCCTGCCAAACCCACTACCACTGCTAGGACTCCAGAAGTACTCATCAAATGTGTCTCTGCAGCCTAGGTAGGAACTTACTTCCTTAATGTTTTTATACATTTATGAAATATTTAAAAGGGGTCTGAATGACTGTGCTTATTTCATATTTCAGGGAATAAATCGGTAAACTCCAAAAAATATTTTCAGTTTCCTTCCCATTAAAGCCCTCCTGTGTTCACTTGTTGGACCACAGGTTGGGAATCACTGTTAAATGGAGGCATGATGTCTGTCCCATTAGACTTTTTTCCAAGGATATATGGAAAAAAATGCAGCATCAAGGAGACCACAAACGGTAGTTAAAAGCCTTCAGCCACAGTTGTGATAAAAATTAAAAAGAGAGATCATACATCTCCTTTCTTAGCTTCTCTTAATTGTTTTCCAGTTAAATCCAGAGTAGAATTTATAATCCTCCTTCTGCTCTGAGATCTGATAATTCTTTATATTCCTAAAAAAGTCACTTCACTCTCAATCTGCAGGTTTACAAGGGGTTTCTAGAATTTCCAAAAGCAGAATGGGAGGCAGATCTTTTAGTAATCAGGCTTAAATCTTCCCTTTCAGTTAAAGCTTATGGTTAAAGTGTCTCAGGTTATCCTGAGCTATCTCTATAGTAATGCTGCTATAGGCTTAGACTGCTGGAGGACATAGGGACCCCTTGTTATTCTGCCTCATTCTATTTCAACCTCTAACTTTATGCTCTCTCTGCTTTTTCTCATAGTAGCTCCATCTGCTCTGTTCCTATTTGGCTGTGACTCCATCCTGGACAGAAATATCAGCTGGGCTGCTGCCATGAACATCTTTGGTCATAGATTGCAGAGTTGGACCTGCTTTTCAGTGCTTAGTCCTGTTTCTATCCTAAATATAGCTATGGGCTCAGTTTTACTAACTGTGTGTGCTCTCTTTCATCCCTTTGACGTGAAAACTGGTTTAGAGCTCATCCGAATAACAGCTTCTTTCCCAAATAGAATCACCTGTGGAGCTATTTTATTACTACTTTTTCAGACAAGGAAAAGCAGTTATAGATCAGTGCTTTCACGTTGCTTTGTCTGCTTGTCGACCCATGTTGGCCTCAGCAGAAGGCCATTTACACTAAGTCTGGTTGTGTTGAAGGTTTGTTCTTGTTGAAACCAGTGAATATCTTCCCCATAAGCTCATCAAGGAGGAGCGTGTTTTGAAAGTGGATGACTTGATGCAATCAGCTGGATTTCCTTTGATAAAAAAGTTGAACGAACGTGATTGTAAGGTCTGGCTGAATTGTCTCCAATAAAGTGTCTTGAAATGGAATGGGTTGTAAAATGGCGTTATATAAATACGCTGAATGGAACTGAATGTCAGAAAGAAAAACCTCAAAGCAGGCATCCCCATAGTTGGTCCTCAGGGGCCGCTGTCCTGCAGGTTTTAGAGGTTTCCCTGCTCCAGCACAGCTGGTTTACATTAATAGTTGATTAACAGGCGTTTGCTGAACTGCAATCATCAGAATCAGCTGTTCTAAAGCAGAGAAACCTCTAAAACCTCCAGGACAGCGGCCCTCGAGGACCAACTTTGAGGATGCCTGCCTTAAAGGATGTCCGGAAAGCCTGAGCAACTGCTGACAAAGACCACTGTTAAAGTTTACAGAACATTCTGGCAACCGAGAAAGAAAAACAATAAAGAAATAATGAATAGAGGAAGCTTAGTACTACAGGTGAGAAACCACAACCTTCTTCCTTCTGCTTATTGGTTTTGTTTTTAAGAAAGAAAGTCTGCCTTACCCGCGGGCACAGGAAGTGGAGCAGAAGCGTTTGGACCGCATGAAGTTGTGTGCGTGGCCTCGTTTCCCACAGAACTGACAGTGCAGCACCGTCCGATCTCTGTGGCCCGACTCTGAGCGAGACACAACAGACATGTTCAGGATCTGCTGCGTTTCATGTAGGTGGACACAAGGTGGTTCCTTCAGGCCTTACTGTTCCCAAGCTCACCCGCATCACCGGCGTCCTCTTCCTCTGAATCAGTGGAGGGCTCCGTCTGCTTTATGGGCTCTACTGCTGGCAGCGCCTCTCTTCCATTGGTCCCGTTCACTTCCTGTTTGGGGGCCTGCTCTGGAACCAGCAGGGAGGAACGGTTCACCTGGATGACAGAACACAGGTAGATCAGCGCAGCCCAAAGGTCCACAGGTGCATCCAGTGACTATTTCCTGTTTGATCTCTTATCTAAACTAGAGCTTAACTGTATTCAAATAAGGCTTTTCTGGATAATTTTTATTTAACTTTGTTACGTTGCCTAAAACTGGCCTGTGATCAGACAACCGTGTTTCCCATGCAGCAATAGGTCATAAGAACTAATTATAATTCATAAAATGTGGGGTTAACAAATTCAAAGAATAAAAAAATAAAAAGCCAAAAAAAAAAACAACCATAAAATAAAAAAAAAACATCCGATAACAGTAATGCTCACTGGTACACGGAAAAAAAACTCAATTAATTTATAAAATATACACATAAAAAAATAACCGTAATGATAAAACTATTTTTCAGGATACGATTTCAGGCATTTTTCAACGCTTTTATATTTGTTCATATAAAAATGATCAGGCAAAACTGTTAGATATGCTGTTTTATGTCTGAGTGTCCTTACAGGAAACGGTTGGAGACCCTCCTGAATGACAAATCCCTCCACCAGGTGAGTAAGAACCTGTCGTCCCTCAGGCCACGCCTTCATTTCCCAGGGGCCGCCCAGAGATTGGCTGAAGCTCTCAGACTCCTCTTCTGATTGGTAGTTAGGTTCAGATTCAGCTTCAGGTGCGTGATGGGAATCTGATGGTGTTTTGTCAGCCTTCGCCGCCCCGTGATGAGTTAGGCTGAGATCAGTTGGGGTGGTGACCTGAGCGGGGAGCAGGGGGGGAGGGTTTTCTGACGAGGTGACGATGAAGGGGGAGGAGGGAGGAGACTGGGAAGAAAGGCTGGACAATGCTGGGAGGAGAAGAAACAGAAATATGATTCAATAAAAATGTATCATTATATTGTTTAATCTAACCAAATTAGTTTTAACCAACTAGATTGATTGTTTTTTTCCAACCAATCTATTCTTAGACTTTACCCAAACTTTATCCAGCTGACTGCAAATCTCCTAATAAGTCTCAAAACCGAGGCTGTTTAAATGCCTCTGAAGTTCTGAACAACTTCTCAAAGAGGTCACGTGGTATGGCGGTAATGAGGCATTGGACGTCATCGATTTTGGCCCCTCCCCTAAATAAGGAAATCCCTTATATGCAAAACACCCCCTCACTACTCCACACATGCCTTGAAGCATCATCTCATAACATCACTATTGGAAAAGCTTTTAGCTCTCCTTGAGGTAAAAAAAAAAGCATTAAGGGGCGAAATGCAGCCTATTTTATATATCACACAGAAAGGGTGAATGCTCCCTGGACACAGCAAATTGTTTCAACCCTAAACGGACAGTTATCAACCTTCCTCCTTTGCTGACCTCGCCACAGATTGTGAATCTTCTTTGACTCCAACTCCTTAAAAACAATCTGTAGTAAAGATGTCACTGTTTTCTTTTATACCTTTACTTTTTTTTAATGGAACTTTATTGATCTCACATTGGAGAAATTTACCTCTGCATTTCACCCATCCCCTTTGGAAGCAGAGGACAGCCATTGTGCGGCGCCCGGGGAGCAGGGTGGGGTTAAGGGTCTTACTCAGAGAGCCAGAGTGGCAGTCTGAGGGAGTGGGGCTCGAACTCAGAACCTCTGAATTCCAAGATCAACGCCCTAACCACTACGCCGCCACTCCCCACTACTTCATACGTTGACTCAGACTAGCTCAACTTATCTGTTCCTTCAGCATTTGTTAAAGAAGGAATTCAAATAAATAAACTAGGGTCCATTTTTAGAGCTGAAAGAAAAATTATGCTTTTTGCTATCAGATTAAGAATTTAATTTGGGTTTTTATAATTATCCAAATACCAGAATGATGAAAGCTGAGGATTCTGGCTTTTGTATCTTTTTTTTTTCTGTCTTCATTTCTTAATGATAGAAAACATCTGGCTCTGAAGGGCAGAGAGATGGTGGAGATCTGGGAATTAACTGTTGTTATTAGATTTCTAAAGGATTTGGGTCGAGGACTAAGACCCTGATAAGCAAAGATTTAGCATAGAAAACAACATTTCTGACCATAAAGTAGTGAGTATAGTTTTAGGAACTACCTGACTGGTTGTCGGACTGAGTTGACATGTTCTCACAGAAGTCCTCCTGGCTGAGCTGAAGGTCCCGCTGAGGTTCTGAAAGCCTCTGACTTTGGGCCGAGTTCTCAGGAACTGGTTCTGTTGCCGGTGGTTGGACCAAAATCGGTCCTATTACGGGTTTATGGCTCAGAACTAGTCCTTTTGTTTGTGTTTGGGTTGAAACCAGTTCTATTAAAGGAGTCTTAATAGGAGCTGGTCCTGTTACTGGTGTTTGGACAGGAACTGCTACTGGAGTTTTGGTTGAGGCTGGTCCTTTTATTGGTGGATGAACTGGTGCTGGTCCTTTTATTTGTGGATGAACTGGTGCTGGTCCTTTTATTGGTGGATGAACTGGTGCTGGTCCTTTTATTGGTGGATGAACTGGTGCTGGTCCTTTTATTGGTGGATGAACTGGTGCTGGTCCTTTTATTGGTGGATGAACTGGTGCTGGTCCTTTTATTGGTGGATGAACTGGTGCTGGTCCTTTTATTGGTGGATGAACTGGTGCTGGTCCTTTTATTGGTGGATGAACTGGTGCTGGTCCTTTTATTGGTGGATGAACTGGTGCTGGTCCTTTTACTGGTGTTTGGACTGGAGCTGTTCCCGTAACTTGAGCTTTAGTCGGTACTGCTCCTTTCACTGAAGTTTTTAAAGGAACTGGTACTATTACTGGTGATTCAACTGGACCAGGTGCTGCTACTGGTGTTGCAACTGGAACGGATTCTGTCACTGGGGACTGGGTTGGAGTTGTTCCTTTTACTGTGGTATTACCTGATGCTGGTCCGGTCAGTGGTGTTTTGATTGAAACTGGTCCTGTTACTTGAATTCTTGTCGAAGCTGGTCCTTTTATTGGGGTACTGACTGTTGCTGGTCCTGTTACTGGTGTTTTGGCTGAAACCGGTCCTGTTACAGCTGTTTGTACTGGAACTGTTCCAGTAGCTTGAGTTCTAGTGGAAACTGGTCCTTTTACAGAAGGTTTGATAGGAGCTTGGCCTGGGGTTCCAACTGGAGTGGGTTCTGTAACTGGAGTTTTGACTGAAACTAGTCCTTTTAGAGGAGCTTTAACTGGGATTGGAGAGAGATCCAGCTTAGGTTTTGATTCAATGTTTGCGTCTTTAACGGTATCAGGAGCTGAAAGTGGTTCTGTGTTCTGGTTCTGATGTAGAGGCCGAGCAACCAGGCTGTCAGATGTATCCATGGCAGCGTCTCCTTCCTCCTCCTCCAGCTTCCTTTTCTTTCCTCTCCTCTCTTTGTCTTTCTCCTCTTCCTCTGTTATCTCCATCGGATCCTTGTCTCTCTCTGATTCAGGGTTTGGCTCCATCTTAGCGAGTTTCTCTTGCTTCACCTTCTCTATGTGGACATCTTGCTCCCCCAGGAAGTCTTTACTGACACTCTGTTCATCTCTGACTCCGGGTTTAGCTCCTCGGCTGGAGTCTCCTTGCTCCTCAGTCTCCTTTGGCTCTCTCTTCTTGTTCAGAGTCTGTGAGTGAGATGGAGCAGAGGGTAAAGGGGGGGATTTTAAAGGAATACGACCCAAGTCTTCCTTGTTTCCAGTCCTCTTTGATTGGCTGGAAAGCTCAACCAGCTCAGCAGGTTTGGACGGCACCACAGTGTGGGCATATGCACCCGCCTGTGACTGGTGACCAGATGACAGGGCGATCATCTGGAGCTGCCTAGCTGCAGACGGTGAGCGCTCAAAGTGGTTGGAAGAAGATCCCAGGCTGTTTTGGGACGGGGATGGAGCCAGAACGGTTGGCGTGGATGGAGCGCTCTTCAGCCCGGTCAGCGGCTTGCTGACGGACACTGTCTGACTGGATGGAGCCGCAGAGATGGGTTGGAGGGCTTGGGAATGTCGAGGGGTTGTTGCTCGGTGACTGCTGGGAGAGTGAAGCCTGGGTCTCAGCGGGACGGCTCGGACTGGAGAGTAGAGAGCTGGGATGATGAATGAGGAAGGCAAACAAATAAACAAGAAACATTTCAACAAATATTTAAGGTTTGGAGTTTACAATTAAACCCTACTGGGGCCAAGAAGTAGCTGTTTTCAAAACCCACCGCATTGCCGGTGACCCGTTTTAAAGCGTTTACAACTGATAACTGAGAATGCATGAAAATTACACCGGTAAACTTTTTACCAATATACACATGTTAGACATTATTTGAAAGCTTAGATTCTCCACAATTCATCCAGCAAGTTAATTTTATGGACATAGCGAGCACCAAAGAAAACATGTCTTTATAACTTCTGTTAAAAAAAAGACCTATTATTTTCAAGAAAAAAAAACGAGTCACGTTTAAATTGATGCAGTCTGGGCTGTGTTTTCCTCGCCCAAATTTAACCAGAAGGTGTTAAGTTTTCAGTGAATGTATCAGGCATGTAATCAGGGCTTTCAGTTCTTTAGTTATTTGCTTTTCCATTTGGCTATGCAAAATAGGTGAGAATTTCCCAAAATGAGGTTGAATTTAAAAGGTTAACTTTTTGATTTTTGTGCAGAGATCTATTCATTTTCTTTCTGCCGATAAGTCGCCTCATTAAAACCTAAATACTCTTTTTTTACACTGGTTTTAGATACAATATAACCAGAGTGCGTTTGAAAGGTCTAGCTGAGGTCTTAGATGAATCTTCAGGTACAGTTATTCTTAGAAAACAATCATTAAAGGTGAGCCAACATGGTGGTTATTGCTTGTGGAACAACATGGTTTGGGTCGTTGATGGAAATCTGAAACCATCAAGGCCTCCACACCAGTCAGATCATTGCAACACTCAATAAGGTGCAGGTGCTACTCTGAACAGGCTCCACTATCACAAACACTACTTGGCAACAAAGACCTGGGCACTCTAAGCAGCACTAAATATCTCTGGGTTTAGCTGTGCTTTATTAGCCTGTGAGCACATGATTAATGACGTGGAAGGCTTGATGTGGTCCAGGTTCTGCACATGGGATGCTGATGAACATTGGGTTTTCCTCCTGTGCTGACAATGGAGGTTCAGAAACCTCCAATAATTTCAGAGAGACATTATCCTGATTATGATGAAATTATAGAAACAAACAAACGCTGATGAGAAAATTATGGAATAATGGGATGAAAAATGGATCATTGTGGGAAAGTAATTATAAAGCTTCTTTAAGTGGCTGTAAAGAGTGTTTTCAGATATAATTAATAGGAAAGTTTTCCAAAATCCATTTTCTAAGCCCAATGCTCATAACGAGTGAAGATGGATGTGAAGAACACAGTTAGATAGAGCTATAAGCAACAGAGGATTTATATATTAGACTTACTGTCGACAGAGCTTAGTGTTTGACCAAAGCTCAGTGTTTACTTAACTTCTGTTATTTGTTCAGATTAGGGATGCACGATATTGGGATTTTGGCCGATATCCGATATGCCGATATTTTAAAACTCATGAAGCCGATAACCGATAC